TTCTTCAGCTCTCCAGTGGTGCAATCATTTGAGACCTGAGTTTTGGTCCAGGAACACAACGGTGAGCATCTGCCCCTTATTCAGCACGGACAGATTAGATGGGAGATTATCAAGCCAGAAGGGAACATCGTGGCCAGCCTGACCTGCATGAACATGGGCCATCCAATTCCCACAAATTAATTCCTACTTGAAACCACAGTGCATCCTCAGGCATGCATACTTATGTTATAGACTGTCTGCAAGGTCGTTTCAGGTCAGGAGGGCAGACTGCAAAAGCCTTAGGCGACAGGTCAACCAAAGACATAAAAAATTGGATGCTGAGGGGAAGCCTCACTCTGATTGCAACAGCCTCTGACTTAGGCTTATCACCTTCTCATCCATAGGTCTCAGAGGGAAAGTCAGGATCTTTAACCCCATTGTCACTGCAGTATTAGCACCCTGTGCACAGATAACCAGTAGAAGCCAAGCCAACATCTCACCCACCACACTGGGGCTTTCCCAACCCTTTGACATCAAAGCACCAGAAGCTAAACCCACAGATTGGTGTGTGCAATGTCACCACAGTGCTTTGCATTTACAGATGAGTAAAAACCTATCTTGCTCTTTTGTTACCCTTATTTCTCTGCTACCACCTGGGTTTGGATGGGCAGACCTGGGAATGTGGCTGCACAGGCTCTTTGAAGCTTCTTCTGCAGATGTCCAGAGCCAAGAGGACACAGAGGGGTGTAAGGTACAGCACAGGAACCACTGCTCACACCCCAGGAGTGCCAGGCACTTTTATCTATTTCATCTTGGAAACAGGGATGGGGGATTCATTCCAAGCTAAACTGTTAGCACTTGGAATACTCTGGAGTGTAAAACCAGGATTTGTTAGGGTAATTGAGTGGAGTGAAGGAAGCACTTTCCATTCCTACAGGCACCCAGTCAGGGGTCTCGTTAGTGATGGGGAATAACTAGTGCAGTGTCCATTTTAATGAAAGCTCTCAGGGACAACCTGAACCTCTCAGAAAATGAAAACCACCTTGGGAAAATAAAAATAAAATAAAAATCTTTCTACCCCTCTCCTTCAGCCATCCACCCTTCCCTCCCTTTCTGTGCACACACAGACCATACCACCACACACCAATGGGGTTTTGGTTGTCTTGGATGTTCTCACATCCCTTTTCGAGCTGCAGGCAAGGAGTCAGAACCGCTCCCTTCTAACTACACTGTATTTAATAGAGCATGCATCCTTGGGGTTGTGTTCTCCCTTCAAGCACCCTAGTTAGTTTAATTATCCATAGATTTAACAAAAGTAAATAAATGGATAAAAATCGGGTGTCTGCTCAAAGATGTGGTGAGAACAGTGGCTGCTACCCCAGACTCGGTCCAGTCCATTTTGTGAGCTGGAAGGTTTCCAGAAGTATCTATTATTCAAAGCAGTTCTGGTATTTATCAAGGGGATTTGTAGTGAATGGTAATGCGTCAGCAGCACAGAATGCTTCTTTATATTCCTTTTGTCCAATTTTAATGCCAAAGATATTTTGGGGTTTGGCTAATTGTTGCAGCTTGTGGTTCATGGGCTAAATCAGATAACAAAGGCAAAAAGTGATCTTCCATCATGTCTCTCTATTGAGTGGGTTAGAGTTAGGGCGAGCACTGTAGCTCAGCCTGGCTGCTCTGCACAAGGCCCAGCATATCACCAAAAATCTAAACTCCAAGGAATTACTCCAGATTTCCACCAGTGGAACAGCACAGTTCAGTTAATTTGAGCCAAATGTAAGATATTTGTGAAATCAACCCCGAGTGTTTCCAGCCCCATCCAATGCTTTCCCAGCGAGGTCCGGGCAGGCTCCGAGTGCTGACAATCAGGCTGATTGCTGTTTAAGCCTGCATTATGCTCAAAGTGATGTATCAATTACGTGGTTTAAATCACATCTATTTGTTCATAAAACACACCTGGACAGGATGAATAAAGATATGGGGGAAGAAGAAAACAACTCTTTAATTCAGTTGCCGGTGACTTAGACAAAATCTCCCTGGGTAAACCCACCCAACCCACTCCAGCACAGGCAGCAGGGACTGAGATATGGGGAGATGCTTGGTGCTAACAGGCAGCAGTGGGAATGGAGCCCCTCAATCCCACAGCAAGAAGAGCTGCTGATAAATAACTGCTTTTTTTTTCTTTAGGAATTTCAGACGTTAATGTACTTCTGAGGGCAGGATGAAAGGCAGTTGGCAATAAGAGATGACTGATTGCACTCCTCAGAGTAAGGGAGAGGCTTAGATTTATAAAAGATTTATTATAAGGATGGGGGAACTGCTGGAAAAGGCTCTATGAGAAGCAGTGGACCTCCAGGCAAGCTGGAAGCTGCACGGAGGCACTCGGGACCTGATTATTTAATTTTAATATGCAACAGGGACAGCTGGGAGTGGCTGGACTGCACACCACGGAGAAAAAGTAGAATAGGCAAAAGGAAAGGAGCTGCAATTGCAACATGCAATGAGATTTTGGGGGAGAAGGGGACACGTTTGGCTGCATATTCAATATTTCCTTCCATTTCTGCCCTGTGCACTCAGCAACTTGGGTGGAAAGCACCCAAAAGCATCCAAAATCCAGCAGTCAGAAACAACAAAGAGCTGGCAGCAGATCCCTGATCCTGGTTACAGCCATGTGAACTCAAGCAGACTCTCTCTGAAGTTTCTCCTTGTCTGCAGTGATGCAATGAAGAACAGATTTCAGCCCCCTGATTTCATACTGCTGGGGAGAGGAGCTGTCAAGGGCCTGATTCTGGCCCCTCGGAGGGATGGAAATTCAGAATAAACTCATTGAAGGCAGTGGAGCAGCACTAATATAGTGGGAGCCTGGGAGATTCAGATGAAGCCTTTGCACTTCCTTTAATTTCTGCGCAGAGGCAATCAAAACCAGGCAGCAAGGAGGGAACTGAAGCTTTGATGCAGAAGGGCATATTTAGGATTACTTTGATCTGAATAACAGTTGAGTTCTTCTTTTCTTTTGTTGATGGGGAGTTTTGTATTTCATTTTTTCCATTTAAAATACAATTTATATTTTTTCCTGACTTTGTCAAGGCTAATGTCAGGGTAAGGCATTCCCCCCAAATGTCAGGAGGGAATCCCAGAGGGAAAGCTCCAGAACCTGGGGCTCATTTTTCTAATCTAAGTAATATTTTCTGATTCATCTGGTTTAGTGATTTGCAGTGAAGACATATTTTGGAGCATGGGGTAAGGCACCAGCCAGCTGTGGGTGTCCCAGTTGTGGTTATACCATGGGCTGGAGCACAATTTATTTACCCTATTTTGTCTGTTCTT